CACATTTATGTCAACTGACGTCATTGGTTTGCAACTATGTAAATTAACGTGGAGCGCAGTCTTATTTTTCTTTACCGAACAAGCCTAGTAACCTGGTTTCTCTCTTACATTACTGTTCAGTAACGCAGCCTAGCGCTGCCATGCTTAACTTTAGTCAACTTAACATTTAGAAGGTGTTGCTTAGTACAAGTGAAACAGAGTTTGCTAGTGCGTGTATTCTTAGGCATATAAAATAGTTTGAAAATGCTTAATTATTATTATTATTATTATTATTATTATTATCAAGGGGAAGCGCTAAACCTGTAGGATTATACAGTGAAAATGCTTAATAACGTTAATGATGTATAATGTTGTCCAAATCTCTCTCCCTAACCCTTTCATATTTTCTGGGTATAACTTTTTATTTCGCTCCGTAATGATGGAGGTATCTATAAATATTCCATTTCTTCTGTGTATGGGATAGGTCATCCTGAGAGAAGATAATCCCAAAGTAAAAGTACACCCAGCAGTGCTGGGTCCTAGCTGCTGAACCTCTAATGCAGTGGTTCCCAAACTTTTTCAGCTTGTTACCCAATTTAACATGCCACATAAAGCATGTTACCCCTTTCACAAAATGTTGTTATTATTGATATATATGGCTAAACGTGAACGTATACAGCCTCGCATACTCTGCTAATCCTAGCAAAACCATTGAAAACGTAAGAACCACACATACATTATATATAAAATTAATAATAGCTACAAATTCACAGTAACAGTGGGTAAATACTAACTATATACTGCACAGGGCAGTACACATACATACCAGCTTATGTCTACCTCGGCTGATGCTCACAGATAAACTGACAGTGTGAAATAGAGGCAGCCTCAGGAAGTGAGTGACGCGTACTGGACAGGTCGATCTGGGCTACTGAGTGACTTTTGTCCTGAAGCATACTTGTCAAAATACTTTTGGGTTTCCACACACTTAGCTATATATTTCTTCTTTTCTAATACTGTATATTAGTTTTTGATGTTTATTGTTATTTGGTTTAACTTTATTACTTACTTATAATAGGTTTACTTTACAACTTTATATACTAAGACAAAGTTAACAATAATCCTCATACCGGGTACCGCAATGTTTTCTTGATTTTCAGAATTCATAACTTTTTTTCTGTCACCCCTCCATTACCCCCCAAAAATGGTTAAATTACCCCCAGGTGGTAATTTACCCCCAGTTTGGGAACCACTGCTCTAATGGAATGCTTGACGTCTGCCTCATTGACACTGCTGAAGTCTCCCCAACTCAGGCTAGCACTGCTGAAATCTCCCAGCTCAGACTGACACTGCTGAAGTTTCCCAGTTCAAGCTGACACTGCTGAAGTCTCCCAGCTCAGGCTGATACTACTGAAGTCTCCCCAGCTCTGGCTGACACGGCTGAAGTTTCCCAGCTCAGGCTAACACTGTTGAAGTCTTCCAACTCATGCTGACACTGCTGAAGTCTCCCAGCTCAGGCTGACTGTTGAAGTCTCCCAGCTCAGGCTGACTGTTGAAGTCTCCCAGCTCAGGCTGACTGTTGAAGTCTCCCAGCTCAGGCTAGTCTCCTCAGCTCAGGCTGACACTTTTGAAGTCTCTCCAGCTCAGGCTAGCACTGCTGAAGTCTCCCCAGCTCAGGCTAGCACTGCTGAAGTCTCCCCAGCTCAGGCTAGCACTGCTGAAATCTCCCCAGCTCAGGCTAGCACTGCTGAAGTCTCCCCAGCTCAGGTTAGCACTGCTGAAGTTTCCTCAGCTCAGGCTAGCACTGCTGAAGTCACTCTAGCTCAGACTAGCACTGCTGAAGTCTCCCCAGCTCAGGCTGACACTGCTGAAGTCTCCCCAGCTCAGACTAGCACTGCTGAAGTCTCCCCAGCTCAGGCTAGCACTGCTGAAGTCTCTCCATCTCAGGCTAGCACTGCTGAAGTCTCCCCAGCTCAGGCTAGCACTGCTGAAGTCTCTCCAGCTCAGATTAGCACTGCTGAAGTCTCCCCAGCTCAGGCTAGCACTGCTGAAGTCTCCCCAGCTCAGGCTAGCACTGCTGAAGTCTCCCCAGCTCAGGCTAGCACTGCTGAAGTCTCCCCAGCTCAGGCTAGCACTGCTGAAGTCTCCCCAGCTCAGGCTAGCACTGCTGAAGTCTCCCCAGCTCAGGCTAGCACTGCTGAAGTCTCCCCAGCTCAGGCTAGCACTGCTGAAGTCTCCCCAGCTCAGACTAACACTGCTGAAGTCTCCCCAGCTCAGACTAGCACTGCTGAAGTCTCCCAGCTCAAGCTAATACATTTCAACATCTTGTGTGAGCACTGAGCACCATCCTGCGTGATGGAATATGACAGGGCAAAAATACGTAGCTTTTGTACCAAATGTATAACTGTCATAGAGAACAGGGCAACAGCACTTATATCCATTATCGCTAGATAAAAAAAAAAAACGTCTTGCTCCGTCTTACCGCTGATCTTACCCCTCGACCTTACGCTAACATCACTTCCTGCAGATATTCCAGTGACGTCACCAGGGGTATATTTTTTCCGTTTCCTGTACACTGGATTATTAAGTTATTTTACGTTATTATATATCGTTACAGCTGAAGTCTACATTGATAATGGAATACAGTATATGTATTCTTCGACGCTTATTACTGTTTTCTTACCAAGTTTGGCAGGTATACTGCTACCTTGTTCTCTCTGATACACTAACTAGACGTTTTATTACTTTGGCAGTTATTTTATTAGTTACATTACTGATGTTATAGTTTGCATCGTCTTCATGAATCCTATTTACACGACTGTCCATGTTTCATTTTATAACACTGAACTATATTAAATTATCACAAGAAATAAATAACCAGCGCAAAAGAGAAACTTATGACGACGTTTCGGTCCGAAACGTCGTCAGAAGTTTGTTCTACGCGCAGGTTATTTGTGTATTGTTCCAGCAGCGGTATTGTCTTTTTTATTCTTTATCACACGAAATGTTCAGCGCACAACTTAATCTGTCCTCAAGGAAGCCAGTTGCGTGGATTTCTGCACGAATTAAGTTCCCGTAATGTGTCTCATGCGATTCTCGTTTAGATTAGGTAAAACGTATATTTCAATATAATTACATAACAATGACAGGATAAAAAAAAAAAACATAAAGACGGTGGCTTACGTCTGGCATATCCTGGGTCATCTTAATCTTTCGAATGTACAGTTTCTCACGAACGAAAACGAATTTGTAGCACGGGTTAACCAGTGACTGCAATTATTGAGGGACGTGGAATTTATTTACATGTGAAACTGCCTAAGCACTCCAGATTCCTCTCTAGTTTGTAAATAAAGTAAATCTATGTAAATCACACATTCCTTCAACAACACATTCTCTAAATGAGAAGACTTCCTTCTCTTTACCATATAGTGATCTGCTTTTGTAAATACATCTCATTTATACACACTGTTAATTTACGAAAGAATTTACTGTATTACTGAAGAATTGTAATATAGTGCAGTGATGAGTGTTGTGATGCTGAGTGTTGTAATGCTGAGTGTTGTGATGCTGAGTGTTGTGATGCTGTGTGTTGTGATGCTGAGTGTTGTAATGCTGTGTTGTAATGCTGAGTGTTGTGATGCTGAGTGTTGTGATGTTGTGTTGTAATGCTGTGTTGTAATGCTGAGTGTTGTGATGCTGAGTGTTGTAATGCTGAGTTGTGATGCTGTGTGTTGTAATGTGTGTTGTAATGCTGAGTGTTGTGATGCTGAGTGTTGTAATGCTGAGTTGTGATGCTGAGTGTTGTGATGCTGAGTGTTGTGATGCTGAGTGTTGTGATGCTGCGTTGTGATACTGAGTGTTGTGATGCTGTGTTGTGATACTGTGTTGTGATGCTGTGTTGTGATGCTGAGTGTTGTGATGCTGAGTGTTGTGATGCTGAGTGTTGTGATGCTGCGTGTTGTGATGATGAGTGTTGTGATGCTGTGTTGTGATACTGAGTGTTGTGATGTTATGTGTTGTGATACTGTGTGTTGTGATGCTGTGTTGTGATGCTGTGTGTTGTGATGCTGTGTGTTGTGATATTGAGTGTTGTGATGCTGAATGTTGTGATGCTGAGTGTTGTAATGCTGAGTTTTTTGATGCTGAGTGTTGTAATGCTGAGTTTTGTGATGCTGAGTGTTGTGATGCTGAGTGTTGTGATGCTGTGTGTTGTGATGTGTGTTGTGATGCTGAGTGTTGTGATGTTGAGTGTTGTAATGCTGAGTGTTGTGATGTTGAGTGTTGCGATGCTGTGTATTGTGATGCTGAGTGTTGTGATACTGAGTGTTGTGATGCTGTGTGATGTGATGCTGTGTGTTTTGATATTGAGTGTTGTGATGCTGAATTTTGTGAAGCTGAGTGCTGTGATGCTGAGTGTTGTGATGAGTATTGTGATGCTGAGTGTTGTGATTGTGGTTATGCTGAGAGTCCTGTAGCAGCTCGATTGATAGCGTACTCAGCTCACACACTGAGGTCCAGGGTTTGATCCCTGGTAGAGGGTGGAAACATTAGGACGTGTTTCCGTAAGACACCTGTTGTCCGTTTACTTAGCAGTAAATAGGTACCTGGGTGATAGCTGACTCGTATGGGCTGCATACTGGGGACAAATTAACTTAATTTGATAGATGTCAGCTAGGCCTGTATACGTTGTACATGTACTTGTAGAAATAATAATAATTATTATTATTATTATTATTATTATTATTATTATTATTATTATTATTATACTGTGTTGTGATACTGAGTGTTCTGACGCTGAGTGTTGTGTTTTTGTGAGTTGGATAGAAAATAAAGTCACATCTTGAGAAGGTGCATACGCAGGGTTGGACTTACACCTGAGGCTTCCCTCTTCCTCACATCATGTGAGGATCGATCTCACAGAGATAGCGTACATTTCCTCCATCACTTACGCTAAATTACCCACAGGGGCTTAGCGCGTCACATAACACAACATTTTGCAGCACAACACAGTAAAAACCCACCGTTCGTGTGTAAAATATCCCAGGCGCTGCGTGGTGTAGCGACCTAGTACCCACCGTAGCTCCACCAACACTGAGACTCAGCCTTCCTGAGTCCAGCCAGGTGGTTGGGCACGGCTGGGAGGGGAGGCAGGGGTTTGTGGTGGATGGTGGGTGATGTGGGAGAGTGGAGGACGATGAGGAACAGTCAGAGGGAACGGGCAAGGCAGGTGAGGTGTGGTAAATACTCTCAGGTTATTTTTCCCTGTAACACCTCATTACAGAATTCGAGCACCAGTTTCACTTAATTTATGACGAGTGAGGTTTATTGTTATTATTATTATTAAGGTGGCTCGTGGTCTGGTAGGCAAAGTTCTTGCTTCACACGCTGATGGTCCGGGTTCGATTCCCGGGTACCTGGATGTTAGTCGACTGGGTGTTAGTTGACCTAATTTGCCCGAAATACTCCGCATAACAAGGGGCTTTCCATATATTAGTATGTAACTGATGTCAGATATTCCGAATACCTTGTACGTGTACTTGTAGAAATATATTATTATATTATATTATTATTAAGCCTATCAACAATACGACTGTTACTAACACAACATGTCACCTGTACACCACCGGTCAAAGTTAGTCGGTTGATTAATGGGGTTTGAAGCCTAGCGATATTTAAGACTGCACGTAACTTTTTTGACCTCAAGAGAATACTTTATTCCCTAAAACATGGACTAAAGTAAACTTTCAGTGTATATAGTCCGAGAGAAAAACAGACGACGTTTCGGTCCATTTTGGACCATTAACATGTGACCATCAAAATGGTTCAGGACGGATCGAAATATTCAAAGTTTCTTCTCGTACGTGAGTGCTGCTTGTGAATTGTTCCAGCTACGATAGTGTTGCCCATATTGCTCATACGACTTCAAATCAATTCCATTGCCATTAAAAAATACTCAGTGTACATACACTGATAGTTATGTTTGGCAAAGGTAAACGTTGACTGACACTGCCTTTTGTGTGTGTGAGCGATGTGTAGTTGATGTGACTATACATTGACTGTTGACAGACCCACCTACCAAGAAATAAATGTCAAGTGTTTCTTGACAGTTTATATCAAAGTTAGTCTGACAAAACTTAGCGTTTATTAGTTTGACTGCATGTCTCCGTGACCTTCATTAATGTACACACACTATTCCGAAATCTCTTGCAGGGAACACTGAAGGTCAAACGGTAATCTTTTACGGAGATTTGTTGCAATAATTTGCGGATGTTGGTCTGGGACCAAGGATGTAGCGAGGAGGTGAGACAGAGCGGGTGAGTTTTTGTGACTCGAGGAAGCAAAGGTCGCCGTGTTGGGGGTGGCCTCCTTCCTAATGTTTTTGTTTAGTGCAAGCTGAAGCCTGGGAGGCTTGCAGGATGAATGGTATTGCACACAAACACAGGCCAGGAGCTATGAATCTACCCTTGCAACCACAATTAGGTGAGTACACACGACGCCGAGGAGATCATCCGTCAGTCATATCATCCGGGAAAAAAAAGACTGCGCTGTTTTGTAGTGTAGAGAATAGAGCATTTTGCGAGTAGTGTCCCAACAAATTGAAGGAATTTTTTCAAACTGAACATTATCTGGAGTAAAATTAATGTATTAAATATAATAAAGGAGAATTAGAGAATCACAATAGTACAGTGGTGGTGCATTTCTTGACAGTATGACAGACGGTACACAGTCTAAACACAGCTATGATTATTATACACCACAGGACAAGAAAACCAGTACATGGATGGATAAGATGATTTAAATTGAACTTACTAAGTACGGCAAGGAAGATTTATAGAAAAAATTAAATAAGGAAAATGCTACTTTTAAGAAATGGTACAGAATTTTTGAAGACCTTGTTAGAGCTAATTCAGAAGACATTAAGTGAGCAAGCTGAGATAATGAAGAAGGGAGAGAGAGAAAAATGTGATAGATCAGTAAGTGGCTAAAAATATAGACCATATTGAGAAGGAAATTAAAGTATTAGTAAAATACAAAAGTAATTTAGAAGAGACATGCAGTGATAAAAAACCATAAGACAGCATTATAACAACAGAAATATGTTGTGCTATAGCACAACATATTTCTGAAAAATGTCATCAAAAGCTTAGAGAAAGAGAGGAAAGAATATAAATCTAAGATTGAAGATAGTTTTGCAGAATTCACTAGAGAAATACGGAGAATAAACAGCATGTAGTATTAGCTAAAGAATTCGCTGCTAGAACCAATATTAGTCAAATTAAAAACACAAATACAAATAACTAAGTTATTGAGGGACGCTGCTGATTAAGTTTTTTTTTTTTTTTTTTTTTTGCTGCATTGAAAATAAAATAAATCACGAATAGAAGGAACCAGAGGAAAACACATTAATGAGATGACAAAATTCATTTCTTATTTCAGCTTTCAAGAAAATATTGTGACACATAGACGTACTAGAAAATAATACTGAGTGTTGTGAGAAGTGCTGTGATGAGTGCTGTGATGAGTGTTGTGATGAGTGTTGTGATGCTAAGTGTTGTGATGAGTGTTGTGATGCAGTGTTGTGATGAGTGTGTTGTGATGCTAGTGTTGTGATGAGTGTTGTGATGCTGAAGTGTTGTGATGAGTGTTTGTGATGCTAAGTGTTGTGATGAGTGTTGTGATGCTAAGTGTTGTGATGAGTGTTGTGATGCTAAGTGTTGTGATGAGTGTTGTGATGCTGAGTGTTGTGATGAGTGTTGTGATGCTAAGTGTTGTGATGAGTGTTGTGATGCTAAGTGTTGTGATGAGTGTTGTGATGCTAAGTGTTGTGATGAGTGTTTGTGATGCTAGAGTGTTGTGATGGATGTGTTGTGATGCTGAGTGTTGTGATGAGTGCTGTGATGAGTGCTGTGATGCGAGTGTTGTGATGAGTGCTGGTGATGCTTGAGTGTGTGATGAGTGTTGTGATGAGTGCTTGTGATGTAAGTGTTGGGGGTTGTGATGAGTGTTGTGATGAGTGTATGGCTGTGTGATGTAGTGGTTGTGATGCTAAGGTGTTGTGATGAGTGTGTGATGCTAGTGTTTGATGAGTGTTGTGATGCTGAGTGTTGTGATGATGTGTGCTGTGATGAGTGTTGTGATGCTAAAATGTGTGATGAGTGTTGTGATGCTGAGTGTTGTGATGAGTGTTGTGATGCGAGTGTTGTGATGAGTGTTTGTGATGGCTGAGTGTTGTGATGAGTGCTGTGATGCTGAGTGTTGTGAATGAGTGTTTGTGATGAGTGCTGTGATGCTGAGTGTTGTGGATGAGTGGCTGTGATGCTGAGTGTTGTGATGAGTGCTGTGATGCTGAGTGTTGTGATGAGTGTTGTGATGAGTGCTGTGATGCTGAGTGTTGTGATGAGTGCTGTGATGCTGAGTGTTGTGATGAGTGCTGTGATGCTGAGTGTTGTGTGAGTGCTGTGATGCTGAGTGCTTGTGATGAGTGCTGTGATGTGATGGTGATTGTGTGGATGAGTGCTGTGATGCTAGTGTTGTGATGAGTGCTGTGATGAGTGTTGTGTGATGCTAAAATTGTGATGAGTGTTGTGATGAGTGTTGTGATGGTGCTGATTGTTTGTGATGTGGAGTGTTGTGGATGATTGTGTCTGTTGATATGAGTGTTGTGATGCTGATTGTTGTGATACTAAGTGTTGTGATGAGTGTTGTGATGCTGAGTGTTGTGATGGAGTGCTGTGATGCTGATTATTGTGATGAGTGTTGTGATACTAAGTGTTGTGATGAGTGCTGTGATGCTGAGTGTTGTGATGAGTGCTGTGATGCTGAGTGTTGTGATGAGTGTTGTGATGCTGATTGTTGTGATGAGTGTTGTGATACTAAGTGTTGTGATGAGTGCTGTGATGCTGATTGTTGTGATGAGTGTTGTGATACTAAGTGTTGTGATGAGTGCTGTGATGCTGAGTGTTGTGATGCTGAATATTGTGATGAGTGCTGTGATGCTGAGTGTTGTGATGAGTGTTGTGATGCTGAGTATTGTGATGCTGGGTGTTGTAATGCTGAAAATAACATTTACACTGATTAAGCATAAGGAAGAAATGGTAAAAGAAGCTGAGGACATCATGGAATCGTAGATTTATTAGAAATATACATATTGGACAAGATCTTTCAGAGGACAGGATGAAAAAAAAATTCGTAAATACTGCTAAGACTTGAAAGAGTAGATAACGGAGATATATTTCTTAGCATCTGCAACAAGGATAACAAGAACCAACAGTTGCAAACTGATGAAAAAGTGGGGTGGAGGGGATAGTAGATTTTTTCTTCTCCAGTAGAGTGGTAGACCAGTGGAATGTATTAAAGAAAAAGTTAGTGAGTTCTGCAACCTGGAAATTTTTAAAAAAATTATATGATGAACAGGGTACTGAAGACGACACCAGGAGCATAACTCTATTACTGTAGCTACAAATACGTACTTACACACACACACACACACACACACACACACACACACACACACACACACACACACACACACACACACACACATACACACACGCAAGCGCGCGCGCACACAGATTTAACTTGCAAACAAATTATCATATACTTCAAAACGCATTCACTGCTGGTAAATACATTGTAAACACATCCACTGGTGAAGCACAAGTGAGCTAAGAATATGGGGCGCTAGATCAAGGTCACACACTGCAATCTCACCTCAATTTGAACGAATACCAAACACCACCATGTACAAACACCAGTGTACAATCACCACCGTGTACAAACACCACCGGTGTATGGTCGCTGTGTGATTTGAGAAAGATTCAGCAGCCCTGTATTCCATAAGCCTAGTTCCCTCTATCTCAATGAGCACAAAAGGAATAGTTTAGAGTGCAGTGTAAGTTTCAAATGTAGCAGAGTATCAGCATTGAAGATTTGAAGTCAGTCAGCAGAAACATTTACAAGTTACTGTTTTACGAATTCATGGACGCTATAAAAGCATTTTGATCAAGAATTCCCCTCAACACTGTATTTGCAGTGTTTACAGGATTGGTTATAATGGCAGTAACATATCTCATGTGGAATAGACTGGTAAACTTCTGGACATTAGGTTAA